GGGGGGGGGGGGGGTAGCTTAGTATAGTATGACGAAAATGTTCCCGCGATGATGATGATGATGATGATGATGATGATGAGTCTGTTTCCAAGAGCTGCGTATCACCGAAACATAAAAGCCCCCGAGGATAGCATAGAAAAGAATAATGAATCTTCCCGTGACAAAACGATGATGACGATAATAGTGATGATGAGATTATCGCCGTGTTCGCCATTTGTCTCACAAAAATCAAGAACTGCCGTCCTCATGTACTGTATTCCTCACGAACGCGGGGGTGGTGGCTTTGACAAGGAGGGAAAGGTGTTTCTTGCGCAAAGTTGTACGTTTTGCACGAAAGATCACGGCAGACGCTGGCGTCCGAGGGTATCAGAGCCAAATGCGAGTTCTACCGCTATTGGCAAATAACCCATGCCATCAATGCCTATTCGTGTGAGTATCACATCCAGGAACGTCACACCGAAACGAGTGTCACCGCAACCTTGCGGCTGTACTCGTCTCTTCCTTCCTTTTTGGTGCTCCAAGCCTACGTCCCTGCCAGCAGGTGTCAAGCTGCACTTCTCCCTACCGACTCGGCTTTTAGCCGTCGAAAGGGCTAACCAGTCGATTCATCCGCCCCTCTGCACCTGTCGCACGTGATAGCTTTGTCGCCGGCATCAAGGCGTGTTTTTCTCACAGGTACAGATAGAGCCCGCCCTTGAGACCTTGATCGCTAGCAGCTTCACGCTAAACATCACACCAAAACATCAGAACTCGAGCACGATCGGTGAGCCCGGTCAAGAACCCGTGCACAAAAACCCATGCAGCGGCCAGTGCCATTAATAGCCAGCTCACAAGAGCGAACTAAATAAAAACTCCAGCCATGCCCAAAAGTACAAAGAGGCTCTTTACGTGCGGCCGCTATCTGTAACTCCGAATCTTCCCTCTCGCGCCAAAGCTAGAGGTTCATAAGTGCGCGCGCTCTGTAGCTACCACTTTCCCTTACCACAATTTTTTCATTTCACCCCAACGCTAGGGGTTCCTAAAGTACGGGTGCTCCATATCCTTGCGAGTCTTCGCTCTCACCCCTAACCTAAAAGGGGTTCTACAGCCGCGGGCGCTGTAGCTACGATTGCTCCCTCTCAGTGCTGGCGCTTTCCTTACGATCCTTTCCTCTCGCCCCAAAACTAGAGGTTCTCAAGCGCGGGCGCTATTCGTACGATCCTTGACCCTCACCAGGTATTCATCAGCCGAGTTGGGGTACTCCTTCTGGTAGGTTATGGAGAAGACCTGGCCCCCCGAGGCCTCCTTCAGGACGATGCGCCTCTCTTCCTCCTTCACGTGGTCGATCTCGATGCGTCCGACCCCGCCGTCTCCCGCTCCTACCGTTTGCGCCTGAAAGAACAAGAGAAGCGTTCCATGTCTTGGTGACGTCACCTTGGTTTGTAAAACTGTTGTGGAGGGTCGTCACTTTCATTGGTAGCATGATGCTTCGTCATTGTTGGTATGTTGTTTGTGGTTGTTCTTGCTGCTGCCTTGTTGCTCCCGTCTTTTGACATCAAGACTGCCGGTCCTGTTCTCGGCAATGCCCGCGGCACACTCCTGTTTCGCACTCACACCCACTTACCCTAACCTGTGACATGAGAGACTTTCCCCCATCCTCGCATAGGCTTAACAGTAGCAAGAAAAGACGAGCAGCGGCGCAACACCAAAAGAATGGTCTTCCGAACCGCGACAGACGCGCGAATACTCCTCCGCTCATGCCGCGTATCACTTCTCCGCTTGTACCACGCATGCTTGCCTTCGAGCGCGCGTTTTCTACCGCCACCCCAGGGTCCCACACACGCTGATTCAATGGGGGCACCGCCGTATGCGTCGGTTCTCGCTTTGAGCCGTTGTGATGGTGCACATGTTTTCCAAGAGCAAAAACGTACAAAAACGTCCCACTAACCTCTGTCAACTAACGTACCAACAGGGGAAAGGATGGTGATTTCTACACCATCCCGCAGAGTTCTCTTGCTGCTTGTTCTTAGGCCCATCAGACACAAGCGGGGCAGCAGCTTTCGTATTTTGCCCTGTGTCGAGAGGGTGACAGATATCAGGGGGAGCCTACAGTAGAATAGCAAGGCGGTAAAACTGTGCGAAGTGCGCCTGCGCATCTTCGCCCGCTTCGGGCGCCCATGAGCGCACTGGGAGGGCGAGAAGAGCACCAAGCTTCCAACCAGGCGTTCACAACGGCGCCAATGGGGTACATACAAGGCGCGGAGCACTGGGGTATGTATCAACACTGCTTTCAATTCCCGTGTTGTGGGTTG